CTCAAAAAATAAAACAGAGGCTGGGGGTGTAACTTGGCCGTAAGGCCCTGGGTTCAGTCCCCAGTTTGCAAAGTCCCATGGAGGCTCTGCTGACCAGGGGCTGGCAGGAACCTCGGAGACCAGCACTGAACTTGCGGCTTGACTTCTCCCAACATGAACGGCAGCTTCCTGGGCCTCCCTTTCAGGGCTGCGCTGCTGGCTGCTCAGAGGGACTGCGCTACATGGCCACTGCTGACCTCTGGTGCGCCTGCCTTGGGGGCTGAGGCCTCAGTTCTCCCTGAGACACAGGAGCTGAGCCTAGGGCCAGGAGTGGGAGACAGGGTTGGTGGCCCCACAGCTTCCCAGCATCCATCCTGCTCTGGTGTCTGTTACCACAGGCCCACGGAGGAGGCAGAGCCGTGGGAGGACACCTGGATCTGAGAGAAGACAACAGAGGCCTTTGAGGACAATGAGCTGGACAGCGGCAGGAACCTGGAGAACAGGTGCCAAGGACAGCTGAGGTCCAGAATCACCTCTGTCCCCACACGTGCTTTCCCTCAAGACACGGCTGCTTCCTCAGGCAGAGGGGCCACATACGGGACATGGGCATGGGGCTGCGGCTGGATCACCATGGGATGCCGCCACCCAGACGGCTCGGAGAAACCCAGCCCTGTCTCTAAGTCAGATCACATCAGGCCACGCACACCCCCCACCTTAGCTAATTTGAGTTCAAAATGTTTGAACCACAATAAGCCTCAGCCATTGACAAATCCTTTTGGAAGAAAAGCGGAAAAAAGAAGCATAAAATTACATGTTAAAAGAATAAAAATGCATTCGCCCAATTAATTTTCTGAAATCTCATTAAAAAATTTAGCCTGACTAAGTCAGACTTCTGACCTGAATTTTAATCATCTTTACACTGGATGGGTCTTTTTTTCCCTGATATTTGCAATGCATCATTAATTTTAAGGCAACTGTTTCTATGATTTTAAAAGCACATTTCACCAGAATGACATTTCCTGTAAACGAATTTCACCTTTAAAGACATCTGACACTGCGTATCAGGAACTCTTAATGGATTCGGGGTGTGCAAATCTATAGAGATGCGTTTTAAATCTGCCATGCACAAACCAAGGGCAGGATTTACAAAGTCCAAGTTGTCAGACCCATTCAGAGGCCAAATCTGCTCGGCTTCTCGAGATCTGGCTAATTTCAAACCAGGTTCCAATCTTTCTTCTCCACGACCTAGTGACACAGGGACCTGGGCTGTATCCTAACTGTCCCTCAGTAGAAAATGGAAGGTGCTGGGGAGAAAGCTCAGTGGCACAGCACTGCCTGGCATGTTAAGGTCCTGAGTTTGAGCCCTGGTACCAAAAAAAGAAAGAAAGAAAGAAAGAAAATGGCAGGTGACTTATCTCAGTGTTCTGCCCTGCAAATTGAATGAGACTCCCACTTCTCTGAGTCAGGAGGAGACTGAAACCAGTGCTGGCATCAGGCTGCCAGTGCCACCTGCATCACCATCACTCCAGTTTGGAAGTCAACAGTACCTCTGTGGGCCACCTTCTCTTAGAAGCAGGAAGCCATTGCCCATTTGGCACAGAAGATACCAATGGTGAACTGAAACTCACCTAAACTGTAGGGGCTCCCCCAGGATGATCCCATTTGTCAAATAAAACCTACAGTGAACTCCCCATTCACTGAGACTGGATTTCTAATGACACAGCGTGGACTGGGCTCTTTCACAGAGATCCAGCCTCCCGCCCCACCTTCCCCTGCCTGGAGCGTTTGAACACCTCACCTCACCTGGCTGGCCCTGCGCCTTCAGCTCTGAGGTGCACAACTGTTTTCTTTCCTTTTTTGGAATCTTCTCTTCCAAAAAAGTGTACTGTGTACTGTGAGGAGGGGACCTGTAAGGAGGACAGCTTTTGGAAGCTGCGTCTCTGTGGACCTGCCTCCCCTGTGTTCTGCTCTACCATGCCCTTCTGCACGGTGTTTCTACCTTGAAGCCTGCTAACCATGGACTCAACCCCTCCAAAACCATAAGCCAACATTAAATCTCTCCTCCCTTCGCTGTGGGATGAGGTATTGTGTCCCAGCCATGAGAAGGTAACTGATACACTTCCCCATTCTCCAGGACCCTCAGCACCCTCTCATGGGGCTGCTACCTCAGCATAGCATCTTTATCCGTGTATACATGGGGTCCTCCAGGAGACCGAGCCCCTGACCGAGCACCAGAAACCAGGTAAAGCCCCCAGGGGAAAGGGAACAAACACTTGCTGAGTTTGAACCATTAGCAAATGCTCTTGAATTTAATAGTGACTAACATTTGGTCATCTAACCTTATGCAAGCACCAGTTATTTCTTTGGGAAGAGTTGCACAGTTTGGTCTGTGCAGTGCACACATACAGCCCACTCCTCTCTCCAAATAGAACAGAGCATGGCCAGTCCCAAGCAGGATTCCAAGACTTTACAGATGGAAGACACATCAGCCAGGGATTCCCACGCGAGAACACTCTTCCCCTTCTTGGAAATTCATGTATTCACCATGGGGTCAACCAAGCCTTATAGGTCATTCCTGATGAGAGTGCTCCATGAGAACCAGTCAAATCATGAAGCTTGGGCATTTTAAGCCCCTTTCTCAATTCCATGCACACATTCACTAGAAACCTCACTGAAAGTGGCACATCCTGTTTTGCTTAGGGTGCTAGGATTTGTGTAGGGTGCTAGGCTTAGGGTGCCACATTCAGCAAATCTGTTTTCATGTGTTAATGCTCTCAAGCTAAAGTCTTCTCAATCCAGAAGTGAAGAAGCAACAGCTTTGGGCCTAGAGAGTTAACAGAAACCACAGCTGGAGTATTTGCAGTTTACTGTCTTCCTGTATTGAGGGTATCACCCAGCTCTGAGATCTCTGACTGTGAATACCGCAAAGATTTTTTTTTTGTACTGGGAATCAAACTCATAACCTTACTCTTGCCAGGCAGGCACTGTGCCACTGAGCTAAATCCCCAGCCCTGGTTTTTTTTTTTTAATACAAAAATAAGATTCATGACATACTGTTTTGACACCTGTGATGCTCAGCACCATGTTGGTTGTTTAAAGTTTACCACCCCACTTAAATCTTCACAGCTGTCTCATAAGGGAGGTGTGATGATTATCCCATTTTATAGATGAGGGAACTGAGGCTTAGGGAGGTCATTCACCTCATATCACCTGACCAGTGAGGGGACAGAATTGAGCGGAAGCCCAGACTGGCCCACATAAAAGCAACTCAAGGTGTCTTTGTCTTTCAAGAGGGGTATTTGGCTGGAACCTCAAGTGGGGTTTAAGGAGAGGAAGCAATAGGAGGAGAGGAGAGAGAAACTCTGACTGTCCCCTCCCAGCCCAACCCAGAGTGGGCACAGCACACGCATGGCCCAGGGCCTGATTCTATACACCTGGCCAGATGCTGGAGGGACCTAGAGCATGCTCACCCAGGGGTGCTGCCCAGAGCAACCAAATGTTGAGGAATCAGCCCTGATCACACTGAACTGTGTCATTACCCACTCCAACACGTGTGCAAAATGCCAGGGACACGGCTGCCACTGTGGCCCACCACCCCCACGCTTGTGGCACAATTACAGGGCTCTCTCCTCTGCCAAATGAGGCTGTAATTAACCCTAATTGCTCAAAATGCAACTGGCTGAATCTGGGAGATTAATCAAGAGGGAGTCAATTGTTAGTGAATGACTTAGATGACAAATCACTAGGTTCCCTGGGGCAGGTGCGGCCTCCTACTATTTGCACAGAGCCTGAAGGACTCCTCTGTTTCTGAGGCCCAGGTCTGTCTCCCTAGGAGATGGGCCCTGCAGCCCAGCCAGGGACAGGCAGGAGAGTCCATGCAGTATCCTCGGACTTATATGTCACCTTTCCCTTAAGCGGATGCAGCCATGGACCAGGGAACATTCACAGTGAGACTATTAGCACGGAAGAAGCAATTCAGATCCACCTGCCTCCTTGCCCAGGTACCTGAATGCAGTGTATAACCTGTACAACTGTCCACAGCAACCCTGAAGTCCTTCAGTAAGAACTAGGAAGTTAAAAGCTTCTGTGACAAGTCTTCCATTTCAGGAATATGGTCGACTCTGTTTGTTTCCCTGGTTCAGGCCTCATGGCCTTAGAATAAAAAGTCAGCCCTAGACAAGAACTCACCATCATTCCAGGCTGCCTGCAGGACCCCAAGGATCCGGCCCCAGCCAACATGTCCCACCTGCCCTGCCGGCCTTTGTCTGCCTCTCCCTTGAGGAAGCCACTGTGGGCCCCTACTTTGGATCAGGTGCCTTGATAGAGCTCCAGGGACCCCCAGGTTTCCTCTGGTGGTTTCTGACCTTTCCTATGAGGCTGCATCTAGGAGGCGGGAGACAGAATTGGAGCCAGGCACACCATGGAAGTGACCACAGCCATCTGGCAGGCTCACGCCACATGTGGCCGGAACAGGAAGTCTCCCAGAAGCAACAGCATCAGCCTGAGGCTTAAAGCTGGAGCTAGCGGGGCACGTGGAATCTGAAACTCAGCGCCAGCACCACAAAAGCTCCCCAAGGCTGCCGGGAGCGCAGGAACCCATCGAGAAGGTGAGGAAGGGGCAAGGAAACCCAGTGCCCAGAAGCTGCTGCTCTAGACAAGAGGCCAGGGGGGCCAGACATAATACATCAAAGCAGGAGGCGTAAGAAGAAACTTTCTACCTATTCCCTGTGACCCTCACTGTGCCAGGTGCCCTGATCCCGCCTAGAGAAAGCAGCTCCATTCAGGGAACACTGCCCAGGGCTGGGCCAGCCGGCATCACAGCTGAGTCTGGCACAGAGCTGTTTCTTCTGAGCTTGCTGAGTTAAATAAAAGGGCTTGCTACACTGAGTAGTGAGCTGCCCATCACCAGAAGTATTCCAGAAGAGGTCCTGTTTGGGGTGCTGAGGGGTTCGCACCAGACAGCAGGGATGGCGCCTTGCTCCTTGGAGGCTCTGAGTGCAGCGTGGACAGCAGAAGCTTACCTGGGAGTCAGGCAGGTGCGAAGGCCCCGGGGCGTGGCAGAGGTTGTTCGGGCTCCCTCCGTGGGGCATGTGGCTGGGTTGTCCTGCCATCCTGCATGCCAGCCTCACGAGAGCTTGGGCTGCAAGAGAAAGCAGGATGGGTCACTTTCTCCATGGCAGAAGTGACAGGGCGAGAACTGGACCCCTGCGACACGTACTCCCAACTGCACCCCAGGAGGGCAGAAGTCCCAGGAAGGGGAGCTCCCCAGTCACCTAATGCCTGAGGGGTGCACACGGAAGCCAGGCCTCCGCCTAGGTGAGTGTGACCCCCACTGCAGGGAGCCTCACAGGGTCAGAAATGGCCGCCCGGCCCAGCCTCTTCCTGGCCTCTTCCTGTTCCTTCCCGCTCCTTCTTGGGGCTCCTGGAACCCAGCCCTAATGAATCTCTGCCCGAGGAGCTTTGGCTCCAGGTCGACTTCTGGAGAACCCAACTTAAGAGATCATCTGCGTTAGTCTGTTTCCTCTTCCTGTAACAAGATAACAAGACACCTGAGGCAGGAGGTCAGCCAGCCTGCCTGCCTGCCTGACTTCCTTCATACTAGGGATTGAATCTAGGCCTTTTGCATGGAGCTACATCCCCAGCCCCACTTTTTAAAAATTTTAAGCAGGGTCTTGTTAAAGTTACCCAGGCTGGGCTTGAACTTGTGATCCTCCTGCCTCAGCCTCCACGGCACTGGGATTACATGCATCCACCATTACACTGGGCCGGCTTTTTAAAGAAAAGAGGTTATTCAGCTCCCTTCTGGGGGTTCTAGGGCCTGGTGCCGGATGGGCTCAACCCTTGTGGGCACCTATGGTGCAGGATGGTACAATGACACATGTGAAAGGGAAACCACGTGGCTAGACAGGAAACCAGAGAACAATCTGGGGGTCAGAGCAGGGCTTTTACAGTAACTCAATCCCTTGAGAACTAACTCAGTCCCCTAGAGCCACCTTAATCCCATCAGAGGACATCCCCAGGGACAAAGGACCTCACAGGGCTCCACCTCTTCAAGCCCCGATAACCTTTCACTTTGCTACCCCATGCACACTCCCACATGTGAGCTCTGGGGGGCCCCAAACCACACCATGCTGGCACAGGTCCCCCGAGACCAGGCCATTGCCTGCTCATCCACACCCCAGCAATCCCACCCCCGGGCCCTGTGAGTCACAGGCCTGCTAGATGAAGATCACCTCTCCCACTGCAGTTTGTCCCTGATGACTCTGAGTTCTCCTGAGTGTCAAAGGATGGCCACCAAACAGCCTGAGTCACCCGCTGAGCCGGACCTTTGGGCTTCCCAGACCCCGATAACTTGCATCCAGCATCATTCTTTCTGTGCCCTTGGCAAGACCCCTTCCACACCCCACTGCTGATTGGGGTAAAACTTTTCCGGACACAACACAGCAGGCAGGAGGTACCAGAGGACAGCACTGATGGCAGAAGCACCCGACTCGGGGACACTGAGGACCATGGCTGGCCATCTGCAGTGCAGGGCTTGCCTCCTGCCTATGATGCTGGCCAGTGTAGACACACCTTTGGGCATGGTTCTTCTTGCTGGGCACAGACACTCTGGCAGATGCCTGGGCTCTGTATCTGCAGAGCAGTCTCCAAATGGCATCATGTAGTAGGCATCATGGGGTGTGCTTACCCTTCGAGGGCCTCACATGTCCCCACACCCATGTCTCTGCCACCTGCAAGTCTGTCTCCCACCAGGCCCAAGCTCTCCCTGCCAAGCCCTCGAAGCAGATGGGCCCAGGCACCCTTAGCATCTTCCCACCATCTGGCTGAGCCCGCAGAGGAGTGCACACCCCCAGGGTGACACGGCACAGGAGCAGGGGTACACAAAGCCCCAGGGTAAACAGATAAACATGGAGCATGGACCTCAGGCACTGCTGTGACTCTGGGGGGTGGGGAAGTATGTGACAACAAACCTGGGTAGGAGCTGGAACAGAATGTAAAATGCGCATGAATTTGAAGATGAAACCTGGGACTCCTGCGGGCTCAGCAGCTGCTGTAGGCTGCACCCCCAGACCCCTCAGGGTGACACGTTCACCGTCCTCTGCCCTTAGGGAGGCCTCTGGGGAAAAGATGGAGCACTGTCTTGGGGAGAAGGTTCTGTCTCTATCTAAGAAGGCTCCAGGAATGGCCCACACCACTTGGCCACGTGATCACTCAGCTGGCCCGGCCCTCCTGCCCTGGGCTTCCCATGGGCTGGAAGCGAACAGCATCCACCCTTCCCTCACTCGGCCTCAGTCCCAAGGGCTTCGGGCTGGGTGGGCCTGGGCTTGACTCTCTGCCCAATCTGCCTGCTGGGACTTTGGCAGACCCCTACCCCCAGGAAGCCTGGCAGGTGTTTGCAAGCATCATCCGGTAGTGACAGTGCCCTCCGACAGCTGCACTCTCAGGAGCTCACCAGGGCCACCACAAGAGACCAGCCACCCCAGAAACAGCAATGATCATGACAACAACAGTGAAGAAGTAGCACTGAGCCCTGATGGTGCTGGGCCCTGCTCCGGATACTTCATCCCAAGAGCCTTGACACCCCGAGAGACAGGGTCTGTTACTGGCCTGTTTTGTAGCTGAGGAAATGGAGGTACAGGAGGTTAAAGCTTGCCTGGTGGGACACGGATTCCAGGTTGCAGGGCCAGGACTCACACCTTCTTTTACGCCATGCTGGGTATTAATCCTGAGCTTTGACTCTGTTGGCGAATGCTCCCCCCGACCCCTAACTGCACTAAAGCCCCAGGACTTGAACTCACATCTCATCTGGAGCCACTATGCTGCACTCCTGCATCACCTGTCACCTTCCTGTTCAGTTGGCTCCCTGGGCAATAAGTCCTCTCTCCATGCAGAAATGGGGCACACTGATGCCAAGGCAGGGGCCTGCAAGGAGCCCCCATGGATAGGAGCCTCCAGAGACCTTGCCCTCCACACCACACGACATTTGCTGTCAACCCCTGGGCTCTGGGAAGCTACTGTGCGGAACCAAATGGTACCTGCTGTACTATGCTGAAGGCGAGCGGGAGGAAGGGCTCTGTCCAGGAATAGCAGCTCCCTGCCCATCAAGCTCCAGAGTGGGCCATTCCCAGGGAAAGGAGGCAGGAAAGACAAGCAGGTTCTTTGGCCCCTCTGGGTAGCCACGTCCTTCCTACTCATCCTCAGGGCTGTTCACAGACGCATTTTACAGGCAGGAAAGCTGAGGAGGTTCAACACCATTGGGCTGGGAAACTGCAGGGGGACTCAGACCCAGACCTTGCTGACCCCAAGGACTCTTCTCACTCCAAGCGTTCTGCTGCCTCTTGGACCCTTCAGAGGGTATTGGAGCATAGGGAATTTGCACTTTGTTTGTTTCACCCCAGCAGAAACCCAAGTCCCTTACACCAAACACTGCTATCAGAAACCCCTCCTTAGGGGCTCAAATTTGGAAAGACCACAAGGGCACTCGGAGAGATAAGGCCTGGGGAGCAGAGAGATGAGTCACAGCACATGCGCGCAGGCACCTCCGGGTAACACAGGGAGCCGCCTGTCCCCGGATCCCGGGGCTCCTGCCAAGTTGCAGAACAATGAGGCAGTGGCTGCCAAGCCCAAATCAGGGGCCAAAACTCCCTGGAATGCAAGACCCAGAGCCACAGGCCGCACTGAATACCACCTCAAAGAGGGCCTTTCTTCAGTTTGGAGCCAGGGCCCTGCACCCCAAGGCGCTGCGGGTGTACAGCTCGGCTTCCCAGCCCACGTTCCCTGCTTTGGTGCATATCGTAAGAATAGGCTGCCATGTCACACTCCTGGGAACCCAGGATGGGACCAGGAGCAGCGGGAGCTTAAGAAACCAGCTCTAGAGTCAGACTGCCTGGGTACAAAGGCTGGCCAGCCTCTGCTAAAGTCCAATTCCATCTAAGCACACAGAGCTTGTCTCCTGATCAAGAAAATGGGTCTCATCATAAGATCAACCTTGTAACAGTAAGAGAAGAGCCTGGGGGCTATGGTGCCCACGGCACTGTTTGTGCTAACCCTGACCAAGCGGGGGAGAAGCGATCGCCTCCACGTGACAGTCACGGAAACTGAGGCTCAAAAAGGGACAGAGCAGTGGGGGAGTGCCAAGGAAGAGCTGGAAGAGTGCAGACCACTGCTGCCCAGGCTGTGGCCACTCTGCAAAGCCCCCGAATACACCTTGCTAGGGAGCCATGGAGGCTTAGTGCAACTCCTGAAAGGGTCGGGCTGCTGCACTGGCCAGGGCTCAGAGGTTCCAAGTACTCTTCCAACCAAGACGGTTGCTGGACACTGGCCTCCCAAATTCTAGAAACTTCGTCTAGGGGGACACTCTGCCTTTGCCTCCCACTAAACAGCACCCCTCATGGAGGGTGACGCTCTTTAGGCCCTCCCTGTGAAAGATGACACAGGACACAGGAGGGCTCTCCAGCCAAGGACCTGCCTGGAGCAGGTGTGAAGGCCTAAGTGTGCAAGGGCGTGTGGGTGCATGTCCCTGTGGCGGTGCCAGTGATGTCCATAGGCTGTGAGCCCAGGACATCATGCTGCCCTCAAGGTGGGTGGAGATAGCTGTGGCCAGACGCTGCCCTCTATGCAGTGTCTCTGAGAAAGGCCCTGGCTTAGCCCCCAGCTTATCTCTCCTCCATGAGACGCTGCACACTCAGCACCCTGGTTTTCTTTCCTGCCCCGGTGAATCGCCCACCTTGAACACAAGCGCCACAGAGCTGAAGATCTGGGGCCCACCACGGAGATGCCGCTGCTCACGTGCCTGGCCACAGCCCAGTGTTAGTATCAGCTGACACCCGCAGGGATTTCACATCTCCTGGGAAATCTGGGTCTCTCTGGAGAATGAAGTTCTCCAAGGAGAACTGTGACTTGCCCCAGTCCACATGGAGGTAGTGTCCACTGCCCTGCTGCGCAGGTGGGCATGCCAGAGAACTAGAGAAACTCAGCGGACCAAAGAGGCCTAACATACCCTTTGAGGTGAAGGTCCCACCTATGTGGACCGGCTGTGGGGCATCTGATAATAAGGGTATGAACTATGCTTGTGCCAGGCATGCACCCTGCTGACACCCCAGCGGGCTGCCCTCACACTACTCCACAGCAAGGGAGGAA